TGGCTATTTCGTGGTTATTGGTGGTTCGCGGGTGGCTGTTTCGTGGGTGGGTTTGGTTTTTGGGTTTCAAATCTGGTGGTTTTTGGGTGGTTTTCGTGGTTCTTAGGTGAATTTCGGTGGTTTGTGGGTGGTTTCGGTGATTTGTGGGTGACGTGGGTGGTGGTTCGTGGGTTCTGGGTGGCATGGTTGGTGGTTTCAGGTGGCGTGTGGTGGTGGTTTTGGTTTAATTGTAATTGCTTTTTTTTTTAATTTGATTAATAGTTAATTACATGTCCATAACTTTCAATAATCATGTTTAAGAAGTTTTGCCAAGGAGTCCGCGTAGACTCCCTTTGTTGCAAATAACTGTTAATGGAGGAAGTATATTAATTTGTGTATTGATTGGTTGTCGTACACCTGTCAAAGATAAATTCCTAACAAAACCAACTAACAATGTAGTAGGGTAAGTAGGGTCGAATCCACAGAGAGAAGGTATTTAATCTAACCTCTAAGAATTTGGAGAAACTAAATTATGTCATGAAATTGGGATAGAAAGTGTAAAAATCAATAAAAAAAATTATAATAATAAAAAAAAAAAAAAAAACCTAGGGTTATGGTTCACCATGCTTATAGTTCTAAATCTATCGAAATATTAATAATAATTCAATCAATCAAGTATCTAGAGCTATTGCTAAGCCTACGGTCGGGTCTTAATGCTCTCAATTCAACATATGTAGTTCGGTCGCTAACATAATCATAATAGCTAATTGTAGGTAAGCATCTAAAAGTAAGATCTTTCGATACAAACTCTTATTAACAATAAATTAATCAAACAATTGATCTGGTTGCAAGATTAACCATAAAACACTATCAATTAGATAAATCAATAATCTAAATATAAATAATATCAATCAAGATTCATAGTAAAAACATGGATTCCCAAACCCTAGAAATAAAACTACTCAAACATGGAACAATTAAGACTAGATCTAAGGAATAAAACATAATTAAAAGAAATAAATAGAAATAAAAATACCACAATAAAATTAAAATAATAAACCCAATAATCATCCATGGAAGAATCCATGGAGATGCCATGAGAAACTAGGGTTCAAGAGAAATCTACAACGAACGTACAAAATAAAAGGCAAATAAACGGCATAAAAGGCATAAGGGAAAAATAAAAATCCCTTGGAGTATTTATAAAATCCTCAATTCCAATCTAAAGATAAATAAAGAAATTAAATAAGATATAATATTTACATAAGTTGCAATACTATTGGATGATAACAGATGACGTGACATGAAGATGCTCGATGGAATCGAGGGCCAAAGACAATGGAATAATGCTCCTTGCATACGTGCTGCTGTTCACTAGCTGAAACCCACAGTCGCAGGCATAGCTGCAAGCTAGTAGTAGTGTTGGGCGCTTCGTGCGGGCGCGGGATAGGCTCGTAACAAATCCTGCAGGTAGCTGACTGTATTGCTCGAATTAAAACGGCCATAAATTCTGTTTTAGGAGGCTTCTTGAGACGTGTGGCCTATCGTTGGAAAACCCTTCAAGTCTAGTTTCTAGCACAACTTGAATCACTCCAATACAATCTCTAGAATTCAAGTTATGATCAAAAGAGTAGACAAGGGTTAGTTTTGACATATGGTTCATCATCGTTTAAATTCAACTCAAATTCAATTCGAAAAGGCACATAGTGACCCTTGTGAACGCTATGTTCATTTTCCATGCACACAATAATCAAAATCAACATCCACGAACATGGGATCTTTGATAAATAAACTAAACTCATCGACTTCCATCCAAATATCATCCGAATCAACTCCAAACACTACGAAAGCGTCCAAATGACTACGTGTAGACATCTAAAAATGTCTCCCCAAAACCAAACCCAATAATGAACAACCTTTCACCGCCATTATTGGTCAGGTCGAGAATTTAATCTCGGAAGTGCTTAAAATCCATATTTAGTCAAACATATTCAGTCCACAAATCAATCTAAACATTTATTCAAACTTAGTCCAACTCACATTTCAACCCAAACCACTTTAATCCACTTTGTTATATTTATTAATTAAGCCCGATTAATAAATATTAAACCCTAAATAAGTCCGTAACACTAAAACGACGCCTAAGTTATCACGTGCTTAATACTTAATAAAAAGATAAAATGACTTTAGACCGAATTCAGGAAAACCTGTTTGCCGCGCCACGGCAGATTTTGCCATGTCACGGAAATTTGCGCTGTAACACGGAAATTTCTAGGGTTTTCTCCGCGACGCTTTTCATTTCTAGGGTTTCGTGCATCACCCTACTCATTTGTTATATAAATACGAGGTTGATTTATTAGTTTTGGGGCACCAAAAATCATTCTCTCTTTCTCTCTTATGCTTTAGCCTAAACACTAGCCTTCCCTATTCTTTCACCATACATACTTTTAAGCACGCCCCGGAGTCTGTACCATACACGAAGTTCCACAATTAAACCAAGGCGTGAAAGGTGGAACTGTTTGTGGGTTTGGCCCCAAATCAACTCTACTTTTATTTAATTTAATTTTCATTGTTGTTTATTATCTTCCTTGAAGTTACTAACGCCCACGTTTATTGTTTTATAGTTGCAAGCAAATGCAATCAAAGTAAGGAATCATGTTCCTTTTGTTCCTATTATATTTCTAACGATTTTTGTTATATTTGTCATATACTAATCGTTATGGTTAATTGCTTCCAATGTTGATGTTATTTTTATTATATTTATTGATCACCATATTGCATGTTAAAGGGAATATGTAATTGAATATAACGATTAATAAGATAATTTGGACGACCGGTTTAGGTTCCTTTTTAATCTTATTGTTTAATCAAAGTGATCGCTAATATTTTAGAATTATATGTTGCATTAACGTTCAACCAACTTAGCTTAATAATAGTTTGGAGCAAATTGAATCTTTGTTTGTATGCCTTTGAGATCGCATGAATTACTTTTCACAATAAGAATCGAGTAGAGGCCAATACGGGCGAATGTAACTCCATGACTCACTTCGTAACATCATCCCCGGTCCTCCTTTCGTGGTTCTGAACCATATGGAGTTAGTAATCTCATGGATTATGAATGGGGTGTAACCTTCACTGGTCAATTGTTGTTGCCTATCGTTGTCCCTTATTCGTGGTTGCCTTTTAATGATCCGTGAACGGTTTACAAGTTTCTTAAGAACTTGTTGGCGGCTCCCTACTTTCCTTGTCCTTAATCGTATATGTCAATTCCCACTTCCTATGATTGCAAAACATATTCACAACATGCTTAGGTAAGCGCGCTTCGAATGAAGCCTACAATTTGGCGACTCCACTGGGGAGGATTCTTGGTTATTTATTGATTTGAGTGATCGGTATTTAATTAAGATAAGTGGATGAGACTTGAAAGATTCTTGAATCGTATTCTTTTGATTAATTTGGCAATTTTACATATGCATTGACGTTTTAATGTCGTATTTAGGTTCGCCTCGTAGGAAAAATCGAATAACCTGATTGCGAACGAAAAAACAGAAACACTGATTAAATTTCCTGACTACCGCACGGATATTAAAAACCATGGCAGGTTGAACCCAAAGGAGCGCAGATGGCACGTGAAACTTACGTGCCACCTCGGCGGCCCAAGGTATGATTGTGTGCACCACGCATGTAATTTGTTTACCCTTGACAACACTCTTGTCAAGGAACTCCGATAAGGCCTCAACCCCGCGCTGGTGAAACGTTGAGAGGTAGTTCAGTATATCTGCATCGGCGACCTTAAAACTATCGCCATACCCACCAGAAAACGTGGTGAAGTTTATACCCTTAGGAACCGTGGCCTTTTTAAGGAATCGGTGGGCAGAGGTAGCGGTGATAAAGGTGACATCGACCCCAGCTCGTAGGAGCAGCTTGGCGAATTGGAGGGCCGGATTGATGTGGCCTTGCACCGGGAAGGTGACTAGGAGGAAGTGAGGCTTTTGTTTCTCCATAGAAGGCGGCGAGTGATGTTAAAAGAAATAAAGTTATGAATATAGATTGTGAATAATGTTTGTAGTGGAAGTGAAAATTGGATATTTTTTATTGCAAATTGTTAGTTGTCCATGTATGTGATTATGATTAGATAGTAATTATTATATGATAATAGGTGGCTGACAGCAAGCTATTCAGTATAAAATTTGGAAGATTATAAAAAATAATCCATAGATTATTCCTTGATTATAATTTAGGCTATATAGCAAGTGGCAACCCATAAAAAATTGAGTACGTCTTTAAGCTTGAAATACATTGCATCTAAGAGTAGCTAAAACAGTGCTCCTATGACTCCTACGCGCATGACATGCTCAACCTCGAAAGGGAGAGCATGGCCATCAGCACCATTTCGGGTACTTTTAGAGTTGTTCCAACTCCGCTCACAATTTAAGGGGGTGTTTGGTATAGGTTTTTAAAGGGGTGGAAACGGAATCATGTTAGTTTTTACGTTACATTGTGTTTGGTTACGGACTAAAGTAACACAAACCGTTAGTAAGTGGTAACCATTTCCACCCAATTGTTTCCGCTGTAATAAGTGAGGAATCAGATTCTCTTTCCTCCCTCTAACACAAAAAAATAAAGAAAACTCTTCTCTCTCCTCTTCGCTCGCTCGATTATCTGAAAATTCCCAAAATTGTTCGACGATTCTACAAGGAAAGCTGCAATTCTCCAGATCTTGCTCCTAAATTTTCAATTTTCTACTGCAAATCTTCAAAAATTATCAGGTTTGCTATCTTCATTTCTCTCGTTCAATTTCTAGGGTTCATTCAATATCAATTTTGCCGTTTCTGGTTTGAATTCTTTACTTGCTTGTTCGATTGAATTTTTTTTTATCTTTTGTTGATTTTCTGCTGAATTTGATGGTATATAATTATATATTGCTATTATTGCTATAATTGTTAATTATTGCTATACTCGCTCGACAATATCAATGACTTTGATTTAGATATAATTACAATGTTGTATTTGCTAATCTGCGTGATTGGTGGAGCATTCTTTGTTGATTAACTAGATATTGATATAATTACAATGTTTTATTTGCTAATCTACGTGATTGGTGGAGCATTCTTTGTTGATTGCTGTTGTTTTGCTGTTTATCGGGTTCAATTGCGATTTATTTTCTCTGTTTCTTGTATTTTAATGGTTTTTGATGGGTAATATATTGATCCTATTGTATATTTTTTGGACTAATTTTTCAAGGTTTCTACAATGCCTCGGCTTATGCGTTCCATAAGGAAGAAAAAGCTAAAACAAATACAACTAGTTATTTCAATGGTTATTATTATTTTGATGATGTATTGGATATGGCATATGATGTGTGTTGTTACAATAAAGGGTGTTCAATTGAAAGAAAGAAAAAGAAACAAAAAGTTGCTACGAATGTTAGTTTTGAGAGGGCTTTACAGAGAGAGTGATGTGAAATGCAAGAGTGAGCTTCGCGTTAATAGAAGAACTTTCAATATTATTTGTGAGATGCTTAGAGACATTGGGGGTTTGAGTGGAACAAAAAATATGTCGCTTCAAGAGATCGTAGCCATGAATTTTATACACGTTGGCTCACCATAAGAAGAATAGGTCTATTGGACAATATTTCTTCAGAAGTGGAGAAACCATGAGCCGACAATTTCACCTTTGTCTAAGGGCTTTTCTCAAATTACACGAAGTATTACTTTACAATCCCACACCAATATTGAATGATTGTGAAGATGAAAGGTGGAAATTTTTCAAGGTATTGGTCTTTTCTAAACCCCTAAATTTTGCTAGGATTTTCTTATTTTTGATTGTTTGTAAGTCATATTTTTTTCTTATTTTTGTAGAATTGTTTAAGGGCATTAGATGGGACTTACATTAATGTAAATGTGCCTTCACAAGAACGACCAAAGTATAGAACAAGAAAAGGAACAATTGCTATGAATGTATTGGGTGTTTGTGCACCCAATTTGCAATTTATTTATGTTCTTCCTGGTTGGGAAGGTTCGGCCCATGATATGCGTGTACTTCGCAATGCTCTCTCTAGACCAAACGGTTTTAGGGTACCTCGAGGTAAGTGAAGCTCATTCTTTTGTGAGTGTATAAGTTTTGTTAGTTTTGGTAGGTAGTAATCCTTTTCATTAATAACTTTGAAGGTAATTATTATTTGGTTGATGCGGGATATACAAATTGTGAGGGCTTTCTTGCTCCATATAGAGGTCAAAGATACCATTTAAAAGAATGGACGGATCGACAACCCGAAAGTGCCGAGGAGTTCTATAACATGAAACATGCTAGGGCGCGAAATGTGATTGAGAGATGTTTTGGCCTACTTAAAGGAAGATGGAGTATTCTTAGAAGTCCTTCATTTTTCCCTATAAGAACTCATGGACGTATCGTGATGGCTTGTTGCTTATTGCATAATCTAATTAGAAAATTCATGCCTACGGATGATATAAACGAAGATGAATTAAATGAATCCGATGATGATTCCGAAAGTGATTCCGATGATGAAAGGGAATTTATTACAAGTGTTGCTACTTCGGATCATTGGACCAATTTTAGAAACAAATTAGCCCAAGATATGTTTAATGATTGAAGGGCGAGAGGTAGACATGGTCAATAGCAAAAAATGTATGATTTTTTTTCCCCTTCGATTACATTATATATATAGGTGTATTTTCTGTTTTTGTTCATTTTGAAGCCACTGCCACTTTGAATCTGCCTTTTGTTCTGTTCATTTCTAATCTGCCTTCTGCTCTGTTTATTTCTAATCTACCTTATGTTATGTTCATTTCTAATCTACCTTCTAATCTACAATTTGTTTAGGATGGAGACTAGCAATCGAGGAAGAGGTAAAAATAAAAGGTATTGGACGTATGAAGAAGATGCGGTTCTAATAAGATATTTGCATGAGTTGAGTTGCGATCCGAAGTGGAAGTGTGAGAATGGATTTAAGAATGGTTACATGAATAAGTTGGAAGAGATGATCAATGGTGTACTTCCTAATTGTGGCTTGAGAGCGGTTCCCCACATTGAGTCGAGGATCAAGCATTAGTCGGAGAAATATAGTGCATTTGCAGAAATGCTATCCACCTCAGGATTTGGATGGGATGCTGAAAAGAAATTGTTGCAAGTAGACAAGGCCGTGTACGATGAATGGGTGAAGGTATGAACTGCTATTTCATTCCTCTTTGTTCATTTTTTTCTTCTTCTGAAGATTGTAATGCTATTAAAGGCGGCCAATCTGTAGAACTGCTGCTGGACAATTCATATGACCAGAGTTCATATGTAGTCTGCACCCTCTTTAGTCTTCTGTAATTGTTGTTAACTCACTGCCACTGCTTCTGCATTAATCAAGTTGTCAATTAAATTTCTGATTCTGTCATAATATGCTGCTTGATATTGGTGTTTCATGTCATGTAAATGATCTAGAATAGTTTCTGTCTAGAATAGGTGATAGGGGGAGAGGGGTAGGTGTTCAGCTAGGGTTAGGGGCAGCAGGTCAAAGAAGGTAATATTCTGCAGCATTAGCTTATCATCTGAGTTAACCAAGTTATTACCTCTTCTGCATTTGTATCAATCTGATCAATGAGTCAATGGTATATGTTGGTTGAATTCCTCGAGCTGAATAAGAGGGGGGAAGGAGGGGAGGGTGGCTGCTGATGAAATGATCAATTCATAGCCAAATTTCATACATTGTGTTAGACCTAGGTCTAGTATCTTTTTTTTGGATACACATTGTGTAGAAAATTTAATACTTGGTTTTTATACTTTGTTCATTTTTAGAGACATTTGTCCTAAATAATAGGTCGTATACTCGTATTTGACTTTAGTGGCTAAAACATACTAATTTCAACCGTAGATTTGGTAGAACTTATTTACTAGTCCATAATAAGGCTAACTAAATTGACTGAGCATTTCAGTAAATACACTTATGATAAGAGTTATGGTATTGCTCCTACCTTCATAGTGCACTACAGGGATATAAATTAGAGATGTTTATTAGTTACAAGTTAGAACTTTGTGTTTGACTATCAGCCATCACGTTTACATATTTTGAGGTTGTGTTAGATAGTTTTACTGAATTCTTTCTTTCTTTTTTTTTTTTGTTGAAATGCAACTACTCTATTACATCCTTTGTTGCTAACAAGTATGATGCGATTTTGATGTGTTACATGGCTCAAATTTGTGGCCTAATTGCGGCTGTAAATATTAATCTGTTGTGTGGCTGTTTTAGTGAGTGTATGTGTGGCTGTAGTTGCTTTTGGCTGTTTTTGCAAGTTTATCAGTTGCATGATTCAGTTTTGATTTTCATGTTTTGACTTGTTGCATTCTCTTATATGGCAGACTCATAAGAAAGCTAAAGGGTTGTTTGGAGTTCCATTCATTCACTATGAAACTCTTGCGGAGATCTACGCAATAGACAAAGCTACCGGAGATGCAAGTGAGTCGTTTGTTGATGCTATAGAAGAAATGGATCAAGAGATTGATAAGCAACCATCCAATGTCGAGAGTGATGAAGAAGATGATGTGAATTCTATTCATTCGGACACTTATTCTTCTACAAGTCAATCCGGAAAACGCCCCATGAAGATAGAGGATGATCATATAACTCCTTCAAAAATGGCAAAAGTGAAGGCTTCTACAATTCATTCTACCGCAAGTGATTCTACTACTCAATCCGGAAAACGCTCTACAAAGGCGAAGGAGACTAAGGTGAAAGGAAAGAACAAGGTAAATTTGAAGAGTTTGTGTAGGAATGATGATGATGATTTGGTGGCCTCTTTCCATGATGTTTCCAACAATTTTGGGAAGATATTTGAAAATATCAATGTTAATCTCGGGACTATGGCTAGTGCATGGTCTAAAGCGGAAGAAAGTGACCAAAGGATGGATGAAAAGGTGAACAAGGTATTGGACGAGGTGATGAAGTTAGATGGCATTTCTCCATCCGAAGCTTTAGAGGTTGCTACTATTCTCATGGCGGAAGAACATAAGCTTCGCATCTTCTATCAAGCACCATTTAATATGAAAAAACAATATGCAATTGATCTTCTTAAGAAGAAGTAGCATTTGGTTGTGTGCCATGTCTTTGTTTTTTTGTTGAACATATGCAACTTGAGCAATATAGGTTATGTCTTGGGATTATTCATATGATGATTAACATATTATTAGTCAATGTTTGGATAAGTAATGAGTGCCAACTTTGCTTTATATATATATATATAGCAATACATGTTATTTTATTTTGTTTTTATCTTTTTTTTAACCGTAAAATATGTAGCATAGACAATATTGTATTTTTCATTCTTATTTTTCATTTCCGTTTGTTATACCAAACAAGAGGAAACGGAATGGTAATAATTGTTTCCGTGTCCTTTGATGTACCAAACAATTAGTAAGGGTAACACTATTTGTTACCCTTTCCCCTCCTAATTTATTTCCATTCCGTTTCCTATACTAACTCCATACCAAACACCCCCTAAAAGTGTGGGAATCATTTTAAAGGTGCTGAAATGACTTCCACTCTCAACAGTCTTACTGTATTACATATGCAAAGCTTTGTGAGCTCCATTAGCAACAAAAGTCAACAGAAGCTAGACAGTGATGAGATAGAAACTACTACTAATGTTTGACTAACTTCAGCGGCTCACTAAGTCACTACCAAATGTTTTTGTACTGCACAAGCCTACAGCTTAAGGACAAGAAGAGGGGGGAAAAAGCAGACTGAAAAGCATATTTTGTCAGGTACTTTGAAAATTGATTAACGGCTGTAACAGATCCAAATCTATACAAGACAAGAATGGCTGAGCCTTGTTACAGTCGTGAGCCTACTGCTTTGCTAGCTTCCGATACAGGTCGATAATAGGGATGCTAGTGAATTATTAGATGATGATACTTGTCCAAGTGTTAGGCTCGGCTAGTTTATGAAGGTTTGGGCCGTTTGGCTGGTCTTTGAAGTGTTTAGTTTTGTTGGGTATCGAATGTAGGTAACAGAGGTAAACGAGGAGTTCCAGTAGGATTTAGGTCTGGAGCTATAAGGAAAGGAAGTAAAAGGCTTCTAATAATGGCTCAAGTCCTGTAAACTTATGACATATTTGAACCTTTCCATCTAGAGTGTTTATGGGCGACTCTAGGGAACTTGGATAAAAATATGGCAAGCTTTTTCAGCTATTTGGCACATTCGATGATCAAAAACAGACTACAGAAATCTACATTTTAATTGGCATTCTAGAAAACAATAACTAATGCATTGCAAGGTCTGCAACTAAAAGGCGTAAAGAGGAAAACAAGGATAAGCTAATTGCATGAGCAAGCCGAGCAACTAGCAGTTATCAAAAGAAACAATCAGATTTCAGCAGTATACTACTCGTATTAGATTACTATTTACAAAATACAACATTTAATGTTTAGTTGATTCAACTTAAATTATGGTTGGCGTAGTTTAAATCGTATAGATCTGGATAATTTCAACAGAATGAAAACTGTTAATTGTCTATACAAATCCTATTCATAATAAATGTGGCAGCTCAAAGAGTGAGCTTACCCAAATTCTTTGCATTTCTGGAAATTCCATGGCTTGACCCTCTGTCTTCTTGCTCATCACCAGGTAGAGCCCTATAACATGAAGAAGCCTCTTCTTATCTGAAGCTCCAGGCCTTTCAGTCAAAAACTGCTCCCAGAAGTGGTCATTTACTCGGGCAGGTGCAGCAGGAGTAGGATCCTGGTTATGACTCCGAGTCTCTTGTGATGATGAGGAATTGGCAACATTACCAATTGGATGATTGTTCTTTGAAGCCACCCCCAGTCCATCTCTATTACTACCGCTGGCATCAGGTTTTGTCCCTTGAGATCCACTAGCATCCACGTCCATATGGGTTGCTCTACTTGAATAGGCATTTTGATTGAGTTGTACAGGGGAAGAAGCTAATGAAAGATTCAACTGGCAGCATATCACATCACATTCTTCTGCTGACACCATGTTTTGCTGCAAAGATGGCAAACCTGAACATTCCTTTACTCCAACTTTGTCCGACAATGAAGCATCCATCTTAAATTCCAGGCATGTTCCAGCGTCTGACAAATCGAAAGTTTCTGTGGCAAATGGCAGCGTACATATACCCAATTCTGCATCTTTTGGGTCTGTCCCAGATGATCTCCTTGTTGGACTTGCCCAGTCTTCATTTGAGCTATGTGTACTATTTGAGACCAAATTCATCTTAGAAACAGCTGTTGACAGCTCTAGTTTAAGTTTATTCGACAAATCTTGCTGATAAATATTAGCAACCTCTGGTCTGCAAAAGCTTTGGTTGTCCCCAAAATTATTCTCCCCTGCTGGTAGGAAGTGATCGGATCGGGGCAACCGCCTCTTCTTGTTATATGCCGTGAGGTCCATAGCATCTATTTTCTGAGAAAGATGTTCAACAAAAGCAGGATTTTGAACTGCTTTTTGCAAGTAGGTAATTAGCTTCTCTTGCCTTTTCTCCATATCGCAAAGTCGCAGCGTGACATCTTCAAGTTGAGACTTTGCCGCACAATGGTGCATATTGAAACCTGAAACTTTTGCATCAAGTTCATTTTTCTCACGATTGAGCTTTTCCATCTCTTCCTCAAATGCTACTCTCTTTCTGGATCTGGTGGAGGATGACTGTGGCTATGGACGGGCTTTCGCCGGTGGATATTTTTCAAGAGATGCTTCTTATCTTTTATAAAATCATCATTCAAAAATTCCCATTTTTCTGGGTCAATCTTCCGAAATCCCTGCCAAAAAAAAATTAATGTATTTTATAGGAATTGACCCTCCTATTCAGACCAGGGAGAACAAGCCATTCGACAACACAATCAATCGGGTGATCTTTTCCCCTACTATGGATCCCATACTGCCTCCCATAACTAAACATCCATAACACCAATTGCTACAGGAATACCGTTTAGAACAAAGTTTGGCTTTCAATCAGCCTATTAATTCCTGAACTAATCTTACAATCAAGCAAGTTCTTAAATTCGCATAGATAACCAAAAGTCCAGTACAATAACACAATCAACACTTCAACAACACCTATTAATATAAACAATCATCATAAAATTCATAAGAAATTGAATAAAAACTACAAATTTCCTCAAAAACGATTAAAAAACCTACGATTAAGCACATTAATCAACATCATCCTAATAAACAGAACAAAAACTACAAAAGTCCTAAAAAATGAATCAAAAATAAGATTAACGCAAATTAATTAACATCATCATAAGAAACAGAACAAAAACTACAAATTTCCTAAAGATAAATCAAAAACTAAGATTAAGCAAATTAATCAACATCAACATAAGAAACAGAACAAGCCTATCAAAATTCGACATAGTTGAATCAAAAACCTAAAATTAAGCAAATTAATCAAAGTAGAAAACGAAAAAAAATTGAGAGAAAATTACATAAGTGTTGAGCTGACGAATGAAACTGGAGAAATTGCTATGCTTGAAGTAAGTAGGAAGCAAAAGCCTAGCAAATTCAGGAGGATTCCAGACGATGAAACTAGTGTTGGAATCACTCCAAGATACGATCTCGTTGGTCGACGGATCGTCTACCATGTCGTATGTCTTGAACAGAAACGGCGCCGGACCTCCGCCACCGCCGCCGCCGCCATTGCCGGAAGTTGAGGTTTCCATGGCTGAAACTGTGGAAGGTCGAGGAGAGAGGAAGTGAGAGGAGGAGGAGAGAGAAAATGAAAAGGAGTCGTTGTTGAATGAGTGCTTTCCCGAAATAATGTTGAGAAGTGTTGTAATTCCACAAACACAGCCACATTTTTATCAATTCTAAATATACTGTTCACGTCAGCGGTTTAATTGATTATATTTTTTTGTCCGGTTTTATCACAAAACCACTAATTCAAATGGCGGTTTAGATAGGAAAACCGCTAAACCGCTATTTAAAATAGCGGTTTCCACCTTATAATAATTATGCTAGTACATTTTAAAAAAATAAAAAGCCAATCATCTTTTTCTCTCTCCTGCGTTTCAAACCAAAGTTCCATCATTCTCCATTGCTAATCCTTCTCAAATTTTATCTGACAATTTCATTATCTATTGCTTCTTATCATCCTCAAAACCTGTTGGTTGGTGGGCTTTTGAATCAATTTGGACATAGATAAATTAAGTTTGGGAAATTGATTATCTTGCAATTCTCTCTCTTAACCCTAAAATTTTAATCACTGCTATGGGTTACGTACTGTCGCCATCACCACCATCGTTGTGCCATCGCTGCCATCACCACCGTAGCTGAACCGCTACCTCATCGTCACAAGCTTTTCCGCCACTAGGTTAATAATGTATAATGTGATTTTTTATAATTACAGTATGTAAGATCTAACAAAAATAAGATTTGATTTTTTTTTAGTTTGATTTAATTTGAAGTATTATCAATCATAGCTCAAATTTGATTTTTTTTAGTTTGATTTAATTTGGAGTATTATCAATCATATAGCTTAATTTCAATATGTTCTTCTGAATTTGTCCCTTGATTATAGTAGATTTGATAGCTTATTTCAATAATTTTTTTTTATTTACATAAAATGGAAAACCGCTACTTCAGTTAGCGGTTTTTCACATTTGAAAACCGCTAATTAAAATGGCGGTTTTGGGTTGAACCGGATTAACAAAAATCGAATTAATGCTTAGATGATGATGTGGGCAATATAATGGGAATTTGTAAAAGAATGGCTGCATTTATGGAATTACATTTTTTGGGAGCATTATTGAGGGAAAGAGCTCTTGTTGAATAAATTGTTTTCTTTTTTTTTTTTTTTTTTTTTTAGGTTTTCTATTTTTATGTTCAAAGTTGTCGATTTTGACTTCTTTTTTTTTAAGACAAAATGGTGGATGTTATTCATGTTAAGTCAAAAGTCTTGATTATTTTTTGAATGCAAAGGTTGCAATGTTTGCTTGAACTTTGAAGCTTTTGCCCTTGGCCATGGCTCCAATCTTTTTTTTTACACACTAGAATAATAGTATCATTAATATATGGACATACGACATCTACAATAATAATAATAAAGATTTGTAAACCACAGATCTAGAGAAAAGAACATAACTTTTACCATCAAAATCATTACTACTTTGCATATCGGGCATAACTCACGTTCCACCGCTTCAAACTTGACGCGAGCAGTGATTTTCGATGTCTTCGCATCTTTCCAAGTAGAGATCTTCGCAATCTGCGCTGATGTTTTGATCGTAGAGTTGATGACGAACCCTAAACCTATATGAATTCAAATCACCTTCTCAATTATTGTTAAAACCCCAAAAATAAAATTCTTATCCATAGATGAAAATCAAAATCCCAAAAAATTGGGAAAATCTCAGAACAATTGGGACAGACTCTCACAAAGGGAGTATATAAATAGTGTTTAAATATTGATTAAGTATTGATATTTTTTTTATTTTTTTTCAAAGTGCTCGATTTATCTCGAACGAAAATTAAGCAAGGTAGAATCTTTTTTTTTTTTTTTAATCATCAGAGTATATGAATAGTGTTTAAATTATGATTGAGGCT